TACTATAATTTTATATAGATGGTGCTATAAGTATCTTCAAGCACCATAAGGTATCATTATTAACGAGATATGAAGGACGCATAATATGTAAATGTAAGTATTGGACCAGCAAATATGTTTCTTCCTTTTATCCAATAACCGTTTTTATCCAAAAAAAGCATTTTGCAAGATGCATATTTGGCATCATTAATTTATAATTACTCAATGTTTGGCATAGTTTCCTTAATTCATCACGCACGCTTTACCCGATTACAAAACAGAAGAAGCGGGTTATATATTACAACTAGCTTGCCAGGCAGACGTTGTTCTGCCCTTTTCGACGATTCTGGGTCACTCATGGGCAAAAAAGAACTATCCTATCTCTCAAGTTGGACCAAACTGCACACGGTGTGCAAATTTGATTAAAATCGGTAAAGACGTTTAGGAATCCATAGCGGACAAACAACGTGACACGTAATTTATATATATTAAGATATACAGCCAATATAATATAGTCCACGGCTGAATATATGAATTCAATTAAATATATATACATATTATAAAAAGGATATCATTGTAGACATTCAATATACTCAATATCTCATACTTCTTGGAGCGGGGAAGAGTCCATAGTGCAGTCCTGACGCATTTTTTCTCTTTAGTTTAAAATTTGGAATTAATAATAAAGTGCATATTACTAATTTATGTTTTTATTTGCTTAGTTAATAGGTACTTAAAATTAGATAAAATTCTTATTTTATATCAGAAGTTTTTTTTATTTTGTTTGCATATATAATAGCACTTATAAAATTATTTTATATTGGACACGGTTAGAACGAAGAGAATAGAAGTTAATTTGTCATAAAGTTAGTTTTGCCATTTACCGACAGATGTCACTGTTCACTGTGTGTCTACTTTAATATACTCTTTATAATCTGAGTCATAGGTTCTAAACTATACTGAGTGACAACCTAAACTTTTATGACGTAGAAATCATTTTGGAAAACTACAACCCTAAGAGGGTGAAATAAGGTTGTTACGGTTTATTATTGTATTACAAAAATATTTTCCAGGGCGATTGACTCGATACATACTAAGAGTACCTACTTACTGTTATTAAAAATAAATAAATACGTATTTTGCGATTTCAAAATAACCCGTTACGGTAAAGGATGCAGGGGCAGAGGGTTATACAATTTTGTATCGAAATAAAATATTTTGGTATTTATTAAAACAACCTCTTACCGAGGGTGGGAGATTTTTTCTTCCCCCTTCAATGTTCAATTTGAAAAAGAAAAAATATTTAATGATTTAAATTAATAAAATAATAAAATTTGCCTGTCACGGTTTTAAAACAAGGGTTCAAATTTTGTAGGAAAAATATTGCATTAAATCTACAGCTCAAACCGCTGGATCTAAATGCGTGAGATTGGAACAATAACTTCCTTTTATTAAGGAGGCATCCACTAAGAAAGAAGTCTTGAAAAATTAAAATCCTTAGATAGTAAAATAAGGTTTTGAGAATGTTTTTTTAAGAGGTGATTTCATATTGTTATAGGGAAAAATTATAAAATGGTTATTGTAACTTTAAAATTGGTACGAATACTTTGAGCTTAAAACAATGCAAACATGCAAAGTGTTGAAACCATTGGGATACATTGTTTGCGTGGAAAAAATTGTTTTTAATTGCATGGCGGTGGGGAAATCCGGAAAACAAAATTATAATTATGAATAATACTTATTATCTAGAATTTTACAAAAATCTGCCCCTATTGATCATTATATACCTACAAAATATAAAAAATTGTCTATTTATCATTGTGTCCGAGTTAGTAAACCGACATAATTATAGTGAGATCAGATACAGATAAAACGGCTTTACGTGCTTTTTGAGGCGTAGGGTCTCTAAACCCTTGACTCCGGGCTGCTACTGAGAATTTCTTGATAGAAAACCCAACTGACTTTAAGCCCGATGACACCTATTACTTAAAGGTCAAAAAACTTTTCTAGATTGAGTTTAGTTTTAGTGTAGGAGGAGACAAAGTATAGATATTTACACAATTTCATTATTAACTTCCCGATAAGATAAGTGAAATTAAAAATAGGAAAGTTATTGGTTTCACCCAGATATTCGAAAATCGAGTTTTCATCAGATTTGACGTTTTGAGATCCCAGGAAGCTATTCAGACTAATTTGTGTGCGTGTGTGCTTGTGTGAGTGTGTGCGTGTGTGTGCGTGTGTTTGTGTGTGTGTGTGTATGTGCGTGGCGTGTGACTGTGTGTGCGTGCGTGTGTGTGTGTGCGTGTGTGTGCGTGTGTGCGTGTGTGTGCGTGTGTGCGTGTGTGTGTGTATGTGAGTGTGTGACTGTGTGTGCGTGCGTGCGTGTGTGTGTGTGTGTGTGCGTGAGTAAGTGCGTGCGTGCGTGCGTGCGTGCGTGCTCGAGTGAGTGCGTGCGTGCGTGAGCGCGTGCGTGCGTGAGAAAGACACTTCTTAATAAAACATTCAGTAAGTCGGTCAATCAGACAAACAAATAAACGGACCCATAAACGAACCAAGAAACAATATATAACTGTACGCTTGTGTTATATTTTGTAAATAAAAAAAACCAGACGGCCGCAATAACGTAATCCATAATTTGCTCCTGAATTTCTCTAGCCAATACTTGGTTTTTATATAACAAATAAGAGATTGCCCTAAAATAAGCAAGCACCATCACTAATTATTGATATTAAAAAAAATGCAATGAAAACTACAATCCAATGCCTACCTAAAACCTACACCTACACTAACAAAAAAATTGGTTGACCCTGCAGGTCATCCCTCGAACTTCCCGCTAATTTCAAATGCAAAGCGCTCCAAACTTCACCAAATTATGTTGCGAAATCTCGAAGTTATGTTAAAAAAACTTTTTTTCATATTCTTTCTCCTTCGATATCTCACGAACGAATGAACCGATTTTTTTTATTTTTCAAACGGCATTCGATGTTATTTTTTGAGGTTAAGAGCTGATTAGATTTTTAAAATCTATCGGTAAAACCATTTAAAAGTTATTCCATAAAAACTGTTTTTCAAAATTTTTATTTTTGAGATTTCTCAAAATCTTCTTGTTCGATTCAGTTTATATTGTCACTAAATCTATTCCACATCTTTGAGATCTTGAGAAACGCCGCAAACCGCATCTCAATAGATTAAGTCGTTCAAAAGTTATGAAGGGTTTTACATACTACTTACTACTACTACTACTACTACTACTACTACTACTACTACACTACTACTACTACTAAACTACTACTACTACTACACTACACTACTACACACACACACACACACACACACACGCGCGCGGCGCACACGCGCGCACTCGCCCTCACCACGTACGCACGCACGCACGAACGCACGCGCGCACGCACACGCACGCACATGCACGCACACGCACGCGCTAGCACGCGCATGCACACGCACGCACGCGCACGTACACGAGCATGCACACGCATACACACATGCGCGCTCGCGCCCACACATCTTCATATTTTGTTCATAATTATTTTAGGAAAGGAATGTTATGCTATTCTTGTATCTAAAGTATTGTATGTTAATTAAGGAAGAGCGAGTTTTTCCTGTCACAAGTATTTAAAAATACTTAAAAGGAGAACTCTAATACACTGTGTTGATTGTAAATTTATTGTTACAGAATCAACATTTTTGAATTTGAATATGCAGAAGAAACAGCATTAGTGATAGCACGCAGCCTTGTGGAACACCAATTTTAATGGACTTGTAATCGGAGCATGCATCGTCTACTACGACATTGAGGCTTCGATCAGCCAGAAAACTGGTAATCCAATTGCATAATTTCTCGGGCAGCCCATAGGAAGGAAGCTTCGCAAGAAGCGCGTTGTGCCAAACCCGATCGAAGGCCTTAGCTATGTCCGAACTAACGGTCAACGCCTCTCCTTTGGACTCTAATGCCTCCGCCTATTTATGAGTTCGGTAATCCAGAAGATCACCAGCTAAGCGACCCCGACGGAAATCGTACTGACGGTCACTAATCAGCTGGTAATCCTCAAGGTACCGCATGATGAGAAGAAGGTGATGACGATATGCCTATAATTGGACGGATCAGAGCGGTTACCTTTTTTAGGTATCGGGTGCATGAAAGCTGTCTTCCATGATTTCGGGGCTACGAACAGGGAATAGGAGTAAGGGAAAAGACGTGTTAAAACCGATGCCAACTCCTGAGCGCACGACTTCAGCACAATTGGAAGGACGCCATCAGGCCCACTCGACTTGACATCCAGGGAGAGGAGTGCTCTGAGCACCGAGCGTTGGATAAACAGCACATTCTGCATGGAGGACTCACACCGCGGGATGGTCGGCGGTGTGTCCCCCCCGTCATCAGGAGACGAGTTTGACGCAAAGAGAGAGCCCAGCCGATCGGCTTTGTCCTATGCGGTATGGGCCAGTGAGTCGTCCTCCCTGTGCGGAAATGGGAGAGATGGCTGACAGAAGTTCCCTTGGACAGCTTGGCAAGAGACCAGAATGCACGTGTTCCCGAAGAAAGTCGAACTAGTTTCTTGCCAATTCTGCCGATGTGCTCTGTCTTTACCTTGACAATGACACTTTTGAAGGACCTGCAGGCAGAATTGTACTTCTTTTTAAGAGCGCTGGTATTTGCATCCCGCTGCCGCTTTCAGTTCCCATCTTCCTATTTAGGCCCATTTTTAATCTCATTTATTATGCGCATTATCAAAAAAGCCCACGTATTGAGACAGGCAACAACGGAATCCTTCCTTTACACTGTGCGTGGTAACGCCCCGCACTTGACCAGTTTTTTGTTGTTAGTTCATGATAGATTTGAAAATTAATCTGAAGGTTTAACTTGATGACTTTTTTTGATATTTCATTTACTATAAGTACCAACAAGGTTGATTGCATAATGTAAGTCAGGTTTACATTGTATAGTATGCTCATGACTTATTGCCGCTCTCCATTTACTTTAGGTACCTTTAACAATCCACACGATGGTAATTTATGTCTATAATAATTCATTGGACACGACTACAACAACTTTTTTTCAAATCAAGTCTGCAATAAGTACTTAATTAACTTGATTTTAGATCAAGCTAGTTTGTTGGGTTAATTTACTAATGTAAGGTAACGGGCCTCCAAAATCCTTTCACAAAACCACCCAATATAATTATTTATTGTTTTAAAAAAAACCACATAGATTATTGTGGTTGACCATGACCTCCAGTCATACTTTTGCCCAGAAAGTGAGAAAAGTTTTACACCCAGTAATTTATAAAAAAAATCTAGGTAGGTTTACTAGGAGGTATGTAGGACTTCTTTTCTAGCGGGAAATTCGTGTGGCCTACCCACATAATAAATAATAGTTCATGAACTACTACCAAAAGTACTACTCCCCTTTTACCTAATAGGTTGGGAAAAGTTTCTTCATATTTTGTTTGTTTGACATTGAAGAAAACTCTCTTTGGTTGTACTGTTTGTATCTGGATGATTTTAATATCAATACATATAGGACATGAAAAAGAAAAAATAAAAAACACTTTTCCGCCATTTGTCAATTGTTTTTCTGTACGCCAAAATGTTCAGATGAAGTATTAAAAAAGAGGTAGATATCGCACCTAGAATATGAAACTGTAACTAATTTTAAAACCTTTTTTTTAAAGTCCCTGAAAACTGATATAAAATACTATAAATATAAGAGTATAATAATGTGACTGTTTTAATAAATTTGAACAATTCAAAAAAAGATGATGAAGGTAGGAGGCGTTTGTAGATCATTTAAAAGAAGAGTGTGGTTTGTAAGATGATGTTGCGATCAGGATTATGAAGGGAATGCTTTGGTGCACATTTATAATTCTATGAAGCCAAAGATAATATGGTTTGATGAATATGATTCATTTGTGAAGCCTGTTACAGTGAGAAGAAAAACAACTGTAAGTAAATATCATTTATTGTTTTCTTTAGATCAACATTCATTACATTACGACTACAAAAGTAAATTGAAGCTGGTTATCTTCGCACACACGCACTGAGCGCAGTTTTATAATATGTTTGTGCGCTCTGCTAGTTTGAGTATTGACATTGCATATAAAATTATGTTTGTTCTTTTTACTTAACTATGCCTCCTCGAACGATAAATTTACTTAGTTTAGTGGAGTACAGCTCGCGACAAACTTTTCTCTATACCCGAAGCTAACTTCCTAGCCGCCAAAAAGATTGACGCGGCCTGTATCAAAAAATCTAATTAGTTGGATTTGATTGAAATCGGATTTATTTTATTTTATATTATATTAGTTCAAGGATAATATTGTTAATGTATACTACTTAATTGCCAAGGAACACTTTCTTCGTTCATAAACATATTTTTATAAAGTTCTCTCTTCTCTCGTGCAATTTCTGCTGAACGATTGCTACCTTGATTAGCAATACTATCTAGGGCATGTATTTGGCTCCTCCATGAACCTGGCTGATCATTTCCCTCTTGATCTTCCCTATCTACAAAAGTTGTAGTGATGTACGAAGTTGATCTTTTTCGTAGCCAATTATGAAGGGCACAACAAGCACAAACGATTGCATCTGCTGTTTCCAACTTAGTTTGTATTGGCTTTTCTAATACCCGAAATCTAACCTAACGGTAAGATTCCTCTCATTCAAATTTGTCAGGTAGATTTTCGGTAAGATTATACTGGTCTGTATACGAAAAACAGTAGTCGTGATCGGCAATAGGTAACAATACGATGCTGCCTGTTTTTTTTATAATTGAAGTATAAACTTCCACTTTTAGGAGGAGCTTTGATTGACACATGTTTTCCGTCTATGGAACCGTAACATAAGGGGAAATCCCATCTTGTTTTAAACCCAGTTTCGATTATTTTCCATTCTTCTGCATTAGGCACCTGTAAAAAAAGGCAATTAAATTACTTTTTCTTTTGTTTAACTACAGGATAACACAGAAGACTCACATAACGTATCTTCACATATCTCAACACACGAACAAGGATCATCGTCGGTTAATACACCGCGCTCGGAAAATAGGGTAGAAAATGAATCAGAGACACCACAAGAGGCGGAACAAGATAAACCAAAATTCACTCCACCCATAAAAAAACATAAGCGGGGCAAATTATCCCAATTATCTGACATGATAAAAGATCTGAGAAACATTAATAACGAAAACACAAACACATCCATATGCAGCGAAGAAACAGATCTGGATATATTTGGAAAAAGCGTCTCGGCACAAATGAAAAAATTATCAGAGGAACAGGCAGTCATCTGTAAATAAAAGATACAGAGTGTATTAACTCAATGCATGCTTGCAGATATACGAGCCAGAAATGCATTGCCTTTGCGTATTCCACAATTTTCTCAATCAATTCAGCAATCTCAAAATATGTTATCTATTCATTGGAACCCATCTCAAACCGATCTTCCTCCTATGCAAAGTCCAAGAGATGCTACAAGTTCTTCCACGAGTTTCCAGTACAGCGATGATAATTATACTGCTTTTTCCCCTGTGACTTTAAGTAATAACGATAGTCACGGCGAAAGCGTCATACAATTTGCGTTCAATAATGCTTAAAATTAATTGTTTGTTGGATTTTAATACAGTAATGTACCTATTTTATTTATAAAATAAATAAATAAACACTTACTTTAATAAATTGTTTTAATGAATTTACTTATTTTTAATTCCCGACGTTTCGGGTGCTTTACAGCAACCATGGTCACGGGGGGACTGAGATGTTTGACGTCCCAATGTCATTGTTAGCCCGGCTACCTTCAGTTTTTGAATATTAATTTTTGGTCCGATTTACGTAAAACGAACTTACAGTATCTTGAAGTCTTGCAGTGGTATGCTTGGGTTTGGGTTTAATTTTGTTAATTATAGGATCCCAAGCAGATGGCAGCACCCAACCATCTTCTCTATTGAAATTAGGATTTTTTTTTAATTTCAATAGCCTCGCGTATCATCCTTGGTCGGAATCGGTGTTCTTTTGCGAGGATTTGTGGTTTATCAAATCTGATGTAATGGTGAGGACGATCTTGAACATGTTCGCAGACTGCAGACTTCCCGGAGCGTCGGTGCTTTACGTCAGCTATATGTTCTTTCACGCGGGTTTTTATGTATCTTTTTGTTTGACCTATGTAAGAGAGACCACATTCACAATCTAACTTGTACACTCCTGCATCTTGTAGAGGGATATTACACTTGACGGATGGTAAAAATTGACTAATCTTCTTCGGCGGCTTGTATGTTTTAATGGAAGCTCGGTTCAAGATGTAGCCAATCTTGTCTGTGACTCCTCTCCTGTGACATATGGTAGTACAGCAGGTACACGCTCGACTGTGGCCGGCTTCACTCGGACACTGTGACGTAGGTCGCGGTAGATCCCGCATCCGAAGCTTGTTGTCTTGCAACACTTGCTTGACATGCTGCAGCTCGGCGGCAAAATGTTTTCTGTCACAGATCCCTCGTGCTCTCTGAAACAAAGATTTACCCACGGTAGCTAACTGTGAAGGATGATGGTGAGATTCACCATTTAAATATTGGTTGGTATGGGTCTTTTTTCTATACACAGTGTGACCAATAGTGTTATCAGGATTTCGAATGACTAAAACATCTAGGAAAGCTAAAGAATTATTTGCATCTAACTCCATTGTGAATTGTATTTTAGAGTTTATAGAGTTAAGGTGGTTTAAAAATGCAGTTACTTTGTCAGATGGTAAAATTGTGAAGGTGTCGTCTACGTACCGCTTGTAGAATCTTGGATTTACAGGAGCAGTAAGAAGGGCTTTCTCCTCGAAGTCCTCCATAAATATGTCGGCGACTATGGGAGATACAGGTGAGCCCATCGCCACACCATCTACTTGCTTGTAGAACTCTTCCTTCCACAATAGATAGCCAGATGTGAGGCAATGTTTAAGTAATACTGCATATTCAGCAGGCATGTTGTTATCTTCTAGCTTCCTAGTTACAATTGAGATGCAGTCTTCAATAGGTAGGCATGTGAATAGTGACTGAACATCAAAACTGACCGTAGTTTCATTGTCAGCGAGATGTAGGTCTTTTATCTCACTAACAAAATGGTATGAATCCTTTGTGTGTGCTCTGGTATGTCCTCTCAGTGGTGACAGTATTTTTGCCAAGTGTTGTGCCAGCTTATAAGTTGGTGAATCGATCTGGCTCACTATAGGACGTAGTGGAGTGGACGTAGTGCTGTAAAGCACCCGAAACGTCGGGAATTAAAAATAAGTAAAATCAGTTAAATAAACGCGATATAATCCGTAAATTTAGTTTTATTCAATGTGTAGTGTTCGCGTAAATTTAAGAAATCATTATGTTTTAATGCTTCATAAATTTCTCGATAAATTTCTGGTATAAATATTGATATAGAAGATTTGGAGATACGGTAAAAATGACTCAGGCTTCGGTAACTTTTTTTTTGTTTTTTTTTTTTGATTGAATTGAGATTTAATACATAACTTTTTCATTGCTCTAAGAATGTAAAAATTAAATTTTTATTAAGCTATTGCGTAGCTTCTATCGCGGGCCTTGAGCGCGGGGACCGAATCCAGAAATTCCGTAACGAAAAAAAACCTCACGCTCCCTACTCCGACGGGCATGGAGGTGTGGCGTTGAAAGCCGTGCATCGTCTAACGTCGTTTCAGTTCGGCAGACTTCGGCACGGTGTTTGTTTGCGTGCGACTAGACGTATGCGTGTACACTAGCTGCTAACTGAATGATAAAAATTCCTGAATAACCTACATGTATTGTAAGATATTAAAAATATTTTAAACAATATTAACTTCTCGTTTATTCAATAAGACAGAAAAAATAGTTTTCTTATCGGTCACCACTCTCAAAAAGTGTAACTTGATTTAATATCAAAGACTTAACTGCATAAATAAAATAAATAAATAATTATAATTGCATAAGTTGATAAAAATGCTATGTAATAGCTTTACCGCGGCAATCACCGAGTGCCACACGTATTTTTTTTTCTAAATGAAGCGGTTATTGCAACCCGAAGTGTTTCATAGATTTAGAATTTAATACGTCAAACATGTAATTAATTATTTGTACAAACTGATCTGTAGCTTCAGCATCTGCCAAGTTTAGAAGTTCAAGATCTTCCCTGCATAACTTTAGGGACGTAGCCACACTCCTACTAAGTAAATGTGTGGCAAGTTTCATAATTTGGTTTTGAAAATTAATATGTCGTATTATCAACCTATTACCTAAATAAATGCCTGCTTTGGTTTGTATTTCATTCAACTGTACTAAGTACGCTACAGTTTTATTATTTTCGCCAACAAATTCTTTTTTTGGATTCAAATTAGTTTCTTACCAGTTTAATGACATGGCTGGGCAAAACAAGCAACCTCGGAGGGTTGCTTAAATGTCGTTTGACGCTTAAGCATCCTGTTATGCCTAGCGCAATAGCGCCATGGCGACTACTTACATAGCACGCGCTATGTGTTATGGAGAGATAGCGTGCTATAATATGGCGCTATGCGCTATATTAACCACCATTAGTATTTAGTATTAATTTATTTAAAGGAGCGGACCAATATACAGTAATTTATGAAGCAGAGTTTTTTGGTTTCACCAATAACAAAGGCCGCGCTGTATCTACTTTTTTTCATTTTATCTAAATCAAAATGAGTGAATCAAATAAAGAAATTTAATACATTCTGAGTAATATTACAAAAAAGGGATAAATGCAACTCAAGCCGCGAAAAAAATTTGGGTTAAGGTTTTAAATTAAGTCACCTGAATTAGTGGGTGGGGGGTGGTGGGGTGTAAGGCGGGGGAGTGGTAGAGTCGCCCTCCACTTCCCCCCTCCCGGATGTGCTAAGTTTTTTTTTATAAATTTTTAAAAATCTCATTTTGAGGTTATGTTTTCGTAATGTTTTTGACTATAAACCAGATTTATGAGGGGAGAGAGTTGGGGGAGGGAAGTCCCACGCCACTCAACGTAGCGCAGTCGCGGGAAGCCCGGTCGACGGAGCTCCGCTTCGCGGGACTCCTACTTCTGAGTGGTTTATAAAAAATAACCACGAATGGATTGGCGGGGTCTATTCTTTCGCTTCGCTCGCTCACTCGACCCTCTCAACCAACCTCTTCAAACCTAACGTGTTCGAGTCGGGGTGACCTAAGTCCAGAGCTCGCTTCGCTCGCTCTAACACTCACTAGAGCACCAGAATATCAACTTTTACAATTACTTTAAATTATAAACATAATTTATAGGTACAACCATTTGTAAAAAAGGTTCCAGAGGGGTAGCGAAGTCGTCGAAAAACCGGTGGAGGCAGATAAAAACGTTAGAGAGCACATTCACGTAAACTCGGAAACAATGGAATGACGTAAAGTATATCTGTCACTGTCAACAAGATATAGCCGGCCTAGCGATTCATTTTACCCATTATGAGATGACTGACAGATTTGAAAAGGATTGGTCCACAGAGTACTTTTTTAGAGTGGTCTTTCGTCATGATAACGCCAGACCACTCACATCTTTGGCCACTCAGCAAAAATTTTGAGAGCTTGGTTGGTAAGTGTTAATACATCCACCATATAGTCCTGACCTTGCACCCTCAGATTTTCACCTGTTTCGGTCTCTTCAGAATCCTTTGGTTAGTGTTAGGTTAGCATCAAGAGAGGACTGTCAAAACTACTTGTCGGACTTTGATTATATACCAGTCAGGTATATAATCAAAGTTGTCGGATTTTTTTGATCAAAAATCCCAATATTTCTACAGCAATGGGATTTTGTCACTACCTACAAGATTGCAACAAGTTATTGAAAAAAGTAGCACGTATATAATATAATCAAATATAATTAAACTTTGAAAAAAAAAAGTATTCAATTTGAATATAAAATACGAAGAAAGTTTTTCCCCAACCTATGATTTCTGCTGCCAAGCAGTGGTGCCAAGTTAGGCGATTTTTCGCCTTTTAGACTAGGTATCTCGAAAGGTATCGGGGCGACTAAAATTGCTATTGGCGACTGAAAAAAACAAGGGGGACTTTTACGTATGCTAAATTAATCTCTCTCTCTCTCTCTCTTTAATATGTAGTATGTAATAAAAATGCGTGTAATGAAATTAACGTATGTTTTTATCGCAGAGAAATATCAAAGAAAACTAGATTGAAAGGTATTCAAAAATATTATTTAATGATAGTAACATAGAGACCAAGACAAATAGATATTTGCATTATTTGCCCCCGCCACGGCCGCCATGACGGGTATTCCTCACCCCTTCCCCGTCTTCTACTAT